ACACACACACAGGGACATGGGCGCATGCACTCCTGACACACACACAGGGACATGGGCGCATGCACTCCTGACACACACACAGGGACACAGGTGCATGCACTCCTGACACACACAATGACATGGGGGCATCCACTCCTGACACACACACAGGGACACGGGGGCATCTCAGAATGGTTTGCCGAGTGGAGAGCCCTGGCTCACGTGAGTCAACTCTGTGAGGACCTGCACATTGCATACACTGAATGCTGCAGGACAGAGCACACACCCATGGTTGTGTCGGTTAAGTAAGGAGATTTAGGGGAGGGTTCGCATGCATCTTCAAGTTGACTAAAAAGAAAGTCAATGCACAGTCTGGCAGCAGCCAGGCCCACACGAGGAGCGGGCAGGTCAGCTGCTGGGCGCCAGGGCTGCGGGAGGAGAATGTCCGAGCAGGTGGCAGCTAGGCGGGCCAGCAGACTGGTACAGACACACAGGGATGGAGAGATCAGCAAGGATGTCGAGGGCCGTGAGAGGCAGTTCTCGCTGTCAGAGAGGGGAGGCACAGACACGGACAGGGAGACAGATGACCCTCGGTTTGTTGGAACAGGAATTCCAGACGTGAACTCATGGTTTCAGGACAGAGAGGTGCGCGCCTACTTCCTAGCTCTGTCTACCCCGGGGGGTGGGACCGCATCACCCTCGTAGCAATGGGGACACCCGGCACCCAACTCCAGGTCCCTAAATTGCATGCTTTACTGGAAGAAACCAGGGCTCCTTGGACACTGCTGGGTCCAGGGCTGGGGCGGGAATGAATCGGGGGGCTGGGAACACGTTGTTTCAGAAAGTGCTCAAAGGACAACAGCAACATGTCGACAGTGCACAGGAGGCAGCCGAGAGAGGCCCCACTGGCCAACTACGGGGTGACTGGAGCATCCAAATACATGACGGTGGGACAGATTAGAATCCCTGATTCTGGAGAAACCGGAGTCTGCACTGACAGATCAACAGACACAGAGAGGAGAAAGTTGTTCTTTATAGTACAGAGCTAACTCGTACGTCTAGGACGAGCGATGAGTTAGAAAATTGTGCTTGGCAACCGTCATCAAATAATTGATTCAGGCTAGAAACATCAATGAATGCAAAAACCAGTGCCTGGAAGGGGACAAGGATGGGATTTTCCAGAGTCTCAAAGTATCTAGCCACAAATCACACGTTAATTTCCAGAGGAAAAATGTAACTCTGCCTTGGAGAGACTGGCTGACACCATCTCAGTCCAGTGATCAGACTCCCCCTGACAGGAAACGGGACCCATCCCCAGCACGCGTCTTGTCGGGAGGACATGGCATCTCCTGGGGCATCAGAGCCAACAGCCATGCGGAGACATCCCACAACAACTGGAGGGACCTTTTCTGGCCCCTAATCCTCAAAAATGTCAAGGTTGTGAATGTCGTGGAGGACTGAGGGGTCCCTGATGGGAGCTGGGACAACCCCAGGCAACCCCCTAGGTGGGACCCTCATGCTGAAAGGACTTCACCGGGACACTGGGGACAAGGGGGTACTTTTTGCTATTTTTGCAAATTTTCTGTCAGTTTGATCCTTTCAAAATTAAAAAGTGTTTTAAAAAGTTAGTGGACGAGCACAGCAAGCCAACAAAGGCAAGGCTGACAGGGATTTTCTGGCTCTAGCAATGACCGTCGCCCAGCCCTGGTGCTGGCAGGTGGGCCCCGGCCTCCAGGCCAGCTGTCACAACAAGGACTGCAAACGCCCACCAGTCCTCCCAGCTCAGGACGGAGCATCCTGCCCCTCCCACTGGTTTACAGGAGGTGTCATGATTTAGCCCCAAGGACAGAGAGATCAGGTTGGATGTGCCTAAATCACCAGCGGAATGAGTCAGAGGCTGATGCCAGGCCTGTTGGGTTAACCCCAGGGGAGGGGGTGGGAGTGTCGGCTGCCTGCGCGAGAGGTTTTTACACAGCACAGGTGTGGCCTGCGGCAGCTCTGGGCTGCCCATTCCCAGCCCTCTCTGTGCCTTCCTGGGTGGCCGGCGATGGGAAGCTCAGAAGCATGTTTCCCAGACGTGTGCGGCCAGCGCGGCAGGGCAAGCAGAGACACGGGCAGGGGCTCTGTGAGGGCAGCGGGGCACAAGGCAGCCGTGTCTTCTGACCCAAGCCCGCCACAAGCTCCCCGATCCTCTGGCAAGGACACCAGCTCCCCTGGGGGCCCTGTGTGCTGCGTGTTTGCTTGGGGGTTGTTCCTGGGATTAGCCTGGAGTCGGTTTCTCTAGTTCTGTCAGTCACTCTGGGAGCTGTTTACACCCCTTACTAAATCCCTATTTTGCTTAAAATAGCTAGAGGCAATTCTGATGTTTATAACCCAAACTCTGACCAGCAAAATATTTAAAACAATGCAGCAGTCCCTTTCTGGGGGATGCTTCTAGAAGAGCTGTGAAGCACTTTTTACAAATGGTGCTGGTTGTTCTGTGGAAATACGAAGGGCAGCAAACAGGAAAAAGAAGCTGATCTCGTGTTTCCCAAGCCACAGACCCAGAGAGTGAAAACCACTCTGAAATGTGAAGTCCTATCCTTTCAAGGATTTCGTTTAAGGAGTTCCCTTTCAATTTCCAGGCAGCTCGAACGTCAAGTACAGATTTTATTCTCTATCTTCAAACTCTGACTTAACCAACAAGCCGCTGAGGCCAAGCATCCCGCGGATGAACCCGACCCCGCTGGCCATGCCCCCACCCGCCCGCCCCAACTCACTCGCTCTCCTTCAGCACGGCCTGGGTTTTCCACTGCAGGTCTCTCTCGTTCTCCAGCTCCATGCACAGGCGTCTGGATGCTGCCTGGAGGCGGCCCACGGCTGCCCTGAGTGTCACAGCAGTGGGAGAAAAAGAGGGGAACGCCTGTCAGGGCCTCAGACACCCCGAGAGCCCCTGCGGGCCCAGACCTCCCACTGAGGCTCAGCGACACCGTCACCTGGCCTCTTCATTTTCAAACAGAAATCTGTCTAAACTGGCCAACAGGGAGGGCAAGGAGGATATGTCCAAGAAGGACTTCTCTGTGCCCACTCTCGCTGATCACAGGGAGCGACCCACAGGCTTAGCTGCAGCCAGAGAGCCTGCCCCTGAGCCCCCAGCTCTCTCCTGGCCCCTCATCTTCCTCCAAGACCAGGGAGCTGGCCTCCCTGGTTGCCAGCCCCTCGGAACAGCAGGTACGTCTAGGTTTCAGCCCAGGAAGGACCTAGCACACTCCCCGAATGACCAGAAGCAGCTGGGCGGCCAAAAAGCCACCCAGACACCCTCTGGGTTCTGAGCCCACTCTGGATTCTTACTTCACCTCCTGCTTCCCTCCCAGATTTGCGGCTCTCTGGGAGGTTGTCCAATCCCCACAGCTGTTATGTTGTGATACACACACCTGTCGTGGGGATGCTGGGGTGAATGGTAGTGGGTGGGGTGAGGGCCGGGTGGGCAGGACAGAGACGTGCATGTCCCCAAAGACCTCGCCTCTAAGGGCAGGAGGGGTCGAGGCCGTTTCCGTGGGAACGGCCTAGAGGGACACTGACCAGAGGACCTGGCTGTGCGCAGAGTGTGGACCTGCAGGCATGAGACCTCCTCACTCGCCTGGCCCTGCCCCTTGTCACTCGCTGGTCGCTTAAGGCAAAGCCAGTCCTGAAGCTTCCTCTCCAACCCCACCCGCCCCGTCCCCACACTGTCCTCACAGGGCCAGCCCCTCTCTGCGGGCAGCTCCGGGCTTGCACAGACATTCTTACTGCCCAGAATGCTCCCTCCCCGTCACTGCACGGTGGCTCGTTCTTGTCACTCGGGTCCCAGCCTGGAGGTCACCTCCTTGGGGTGGCCTCGCCTGGCCACCTGCTTCAAAGAGACCAGCCTCCTGACCTCACGGCCACTGGCTTTCTTGTCCTTGTGGCCATTTTGGGTTGAGTCTGTTCCCACTAGAGGGCGGCTTGCCTGCTCTCCCGCCCACCTGAATGCAGGAGGTGCTTCTGACACGTCAGGAGTTGAATGAAGGCACCTCTGCTGCTCACGGGGGAGCCCCATGGTCGCCCGCCCGATGCACATCTGATTCCCTGCCCCGCTCGTGACCAGAGTAGACCACCTACATGTTGTTGGCCTCTCTCTCCGCAGCCAGCTCGGCCGCCACACTCTCCTGCTGTTTGGTGAGGAGATCCATCCTCTGGCGGCAAGCACGCAGCTCCTCTCTGAAAGCGGAAGGCAGAATCTGGACAAACTGTTGCCTGAAACCCAGTCCCTCTGCCTCACTCTCCCCAGGGCACCTCCGACTCTCCCCCACCCTCATGGGGGTGGTGGGACCAGGTGGCGCAAGGCCCAGGCCCACTCACAGCCGCCAGGGTCATTTCCCTCTGGCTCCCCCTTGCCCAGGCCAGGGGCTGTGGTCCCCTCATCTTTTCCAGGGATTTCTCTAACACAATCAGCGCATGAGCAGGGTCTTGTCCATCTGTTTTCTGAAAACCCTGCCAGGGGCCACCTGCGTGACCTCAGCCCAAAGGGGTGTTAATGTGAATCAGCACAAATGAATGAGCCCAGGTGTGTAAGGGGCACCTGGTGACAGGCCTGGGAGGGCTGCACAAAAGGGCAGACGGCCGCAAGGCCTCATCAGCCTTCTAGACCACGCAGACCAGACAGGACAACCAAACTTGGCACATGGGCCTGGACTGGATCTGGGTTCAGGACACAGGATCTAAAAGACATCCGGAGGACACACGGGGACACTGTGACACAGAGCTGCTCTACAGCGATATGAGGAGACTCTGTGAGCTTTCTGGGGTGGAGTCATGGTGCTGAGGTTATGTGGGGATGGTTTTATTCCTTTAGGAGACACTGAAGTGTTTAGGAGTAAAGTACCAGGAGGTCTGCAATTTGCTTCCAAATAACTTGGCAAAAAAAATCACAGCTACGACTCACCAACACACACACACGGAGAAAGACGTGATGGGAAAGGGGAACCGTGAATCAGGGTGTGGTACACGGGCGACAGCTCTGCCATTTGTTTCCAACTTTTCTGTACGTTTGAAATTTTTCTTTACAGTATTTGGGGAACACAGTCTATTGGGTCACTGCTGACCAAGCTAGAGTGGACAACGGGGCACCCCATGCAGACGGGGCACCAGCAAGGCCGAGGACCAGTGGGACTGGAGAGGGCAGCCTCCACACACTTTCGGTGACAGCCCAGAAGGCAGGAGGAGGCCTGTCCGCCCAGGCTCCAGCCCCAGGGCCTGAAGAACGGTGGGCTCAGGCAGCTGGCTGAGCCAGGGCAGGCAGGTCCAGTGCCCCGACCACCCTCCTCTCGGCCATGGCCCCGTCAACCTCCGCTCCTCTCGGCTGCCCGTCACCTCATCTTCTGAATGAAGAGGTCCTGCTCCCCGTGCAGCTTATCTAGGGAGTTCAGGTTCTCCCGCAGGTGTGACGCCTGAATTCTGTCTCGGACAGTGGCTTTCTTCTTCCTTCTCTGGGCATCAGCGTCCTGCTCTTTCTCTGGACTCAACGCAGAAAGGACACCAGCTGCCATGGTGCGGCGAGGGCCTCCCACGTGACTCAGCCCCGGGCCACCTCCACCTTCTACGGGAGCAGGCTGCCTGCCCAGATGGATTACCAGCTGCATCCCGAGTCAGCATGGTCCTCAGCCTCCAGAGGAAGAGATCCCACCTCAAACTCTGTATCTTCTAGTTTATCTCCTTCTAGAAATTGAGGCAAGAGTTAAACAAACAGAAAGCAGACCTAGGCATTCAAGTCTGCAGTTCTAGGACAAATCTCGACGCCTCAAACTTGATGGGCAACTATAGTGATGGTGCCTCAGAGCAACGGTTCTCAAAGCATCGTCCAGGGAACCCTGGGGGCGGTTCCCTACAACTCTTTCAGGGGGTCTGCAAAGTCAAAACTATTTTTGTAATAATACTAAAACATTATGTGTCTTTTTCACTCTCGTTTCATAAGTGTACAGTGGAGTTTTCCAGAGGCCACGCGACATGTGATATCACAACAGACCAATGAGATGCCGAAATGAGAATCCTGCCATCTTCTGTTAAACCAGACGCGTTCTGTCCCATATGACAGGTTCATTATTGCTATTTTAAGTGATTAAATAATTATAAATTTTTTTCAACTTTAATTTTTAATACAGTAAACATTAAAAGATACAACCTACACAAACAAAAGCTCTTTGGGTCTTCAATGAATTTTAAGAATGTAAAGGGGTTCCCTCACAAAAAAGTTTGAGGATTATTGTCTTAGAGACTCACTGCAGACTTCCAGCAAAACACAGCAAATTGAACTAGTGGGTTCATCTCCTCTCCCTCATTAACTCTCAGTAAAAACCACTGAAGAGGAGTTCTAAAAGGCACCAATCCACAGTCACAAGGCAAACAGGACAGGGAAGACAGTGGATGAAAGGAGGCAGCACCATTTCAGAAGATGGGAAGTTCACGGGCAAGTGGCATCTGACCTACGACACGACAGCGTTGGAAAAGGAGCTGGGATGGCAGGGTGGAGGGCCGAGGAAATTAGTTTCCAGATTGAATTGTCCTGTCCAGTGCCTAGCACCAGCCCAAATGAAGGCATAGCTTAGAAAAATTTCAGGTCATCAGAGATTCTTTTTTTTTAATCTAAAAGCTTCCAGGAAAAGAAAACAAAAATAAGTCACATCCAAAGGATTGGAATAAAAATGGCATCAGATTTCTCAATAGACACATTGGAAACTAGAAAACTATGGTCTGCCACCTTCAAAATTCTCAGCCATAATTCATCTTTCTTTTAATTAAAGACAGAATGAAATAAGCTCCCCCTTTGAGAGAAAATATAAGTTTAAAAGATGTAGCCTCTCTGAAAATAGATAACCAAAGGGCACCTATAAAGCACGTCGCTTGTGTTCATTGCTGCTGAACGTGTGTTATTTGTGCAAGACCTTTGTTACTGTGGGAGACCAAGATTGGCCACCTCAAAATACGTCCCTTTACCTTGATTATTTTCTCTGAAGGACATTTGACCTTCCCCTCCCAAACTTCCTAAAGAATTTAACATAGAAGCCCTGTTACAGAAAGGATCCATATGATAACTGTAGTATAATGAAAAATAGATGTGATAAGAATGGCACCAACAAGCCCATGTTATCAAAAATTCTGTCTCTCCAGCCACATTCCCTAGGTGGCCCTCTAAAGAGTTGTCTGACAAACATTTGTATTTCCATCACTATGTGAATTGTCTTCTTCCCCTCTGAAATCCCCAACCACTACCCCAACATCCTTCTTTGTCTATCTGAATATGCTATTAAAGGTGAAAGCCTCCACCATTTGTTGAGAAACTCAGTTTCCCTGGTTTCTCCCACGTACACATGTTATTAAATTTTGTTTGATTTTCTCCTGCTATTCGGTCTCATGTCAATTTAATTTGTAGCCCAGCCAGAAAGGACCCAGAGTGGGTGGAGGATAGTCTTCCTCCCCTTCATTACCATCTTCCATGAGAGGGATGTTGTCCCAAAGCTCCTCTTCAAGGAATAGGCTAGCATCTTCCTCCATCTTGGGAACCAGAAATTAGCTACAAAAAAAAAAAATACAAAATATAGATGAACAAGATCATAGATTTTTTTAAAAACCTAAAAAATTGGATTTCAGGGCCGGCCCCGTGGCTTAGCGGTTAAGTGCGCGTGCTCCGCTACTGGCGGCCCGGGTTCGGATCCCGGGTGCGCACTGACGCACCGCTTCTCCAGCCATGCTGAGGCCGTGTCCCACATACAGCAACTAGAAGGATGTGCAGCTATGATGTACAACTATCTGGGGCTTTGGGGGGAAAAAAATTGGATTTCATAAAAATTAACAATTTCTCTTGAAAACAGACATTAGGAAAATGAATAGATAAGCTACAGACTAGGAAAAAATATTTGCAGCACATATATCTGACAAAGGTCTTGTATCCAGAATATATAAAGAGCTCCTAAATATCAACAATATAAAGTTCAAACCCTAATTGAAAAGTTGCAAGAATTTTAAAACATATATGACAAAAGAAGATATACAAATGGCCAATAAGCTCGTGAAACTTTGTGCAACATCATTAGTCATTAGGGAAATAGAAATTAAAACCACAATGAGATACTACTACACACCTATTAGAATGCCTAAAATAAAAAAAACTAAATACTAAATCATAACACTGAATGTTGTAAACAGACATTCACCACATGACCCAGAAATCCTACTTTGAGGTATTTACCCAAGAGAAACAAAAATATGTCCACAAAAAAAACATGTACAGGAATGTTTATAGCCACCTTATTCATAATAGCCCCAAACTGGAAACAACCCAAATGTCCATCACTATGAGACTGGATGACAAATTACAGTACATTCATACAATGGAATGATACTCAAGAATAAAAAAGAACTACGTCTGATACACACGACAACCTGGATGATCTCAGGAACATTACGTTAAATGAGGAAGCCAGACACAAAAGACGACATACGAAGCCCAAACACAGGCAAAACGAGGGACGGTGGTAGAAACCAGATGCAGTGATGGCCTCTGGGCTAGAGGCAGGGGCGGAGGTGGGGAAGGGCTGTGGGGCAGGTGGGGAAGGGAGTTGCTCTGAGCGTGTTTCGAGCGGTAGTTACATAAGTGCAAGCAATTGTCAAAACTCCCCCGAACGAACATCTAAGACGTGTGCGTGTTACGGATGTTAATGTTATCCCAGCAACACACACGCAGTCACAGCTCAAAAACAATTCTTAGGGAATTTCACAATATTCACTACACTTTGGTTATCATCTTGGGAATGTTAGGAGCTTGCCTGTGTAGAACTTGGTATGGAATGTTGATATTAAACGTCGATACAGGGCCGGCCCCGTGGCTTGGTGGTTAGGTGGGCGCGCTCCACTGCTGGCGACCCGGGTTCGGATCCCGGGCTCGCACCGACGTGCTGCTTCTCCGGCCATGCTGAGGCCGCGTCCCACATACAGCAACTAGAAGGATGTGCAGCTATGACACACAACTATCTACTGGGGCTTTGGGGGGAA